TTTGGGTGGCATCCTAGGGGGAGTTATGGGTAACTTTTATAAAGGGCATGCTGGAGAGGGGGAAAAATGGTCAAATAGTCTACTGTAGATAGGGCCAGTCTTGAAATAAACTGGTAGAAGAGCTCTAAAACTGTAAATTGTATTGTGCAAAAACTAGTTGATGAAAGCAGTGGTACCTGTAGATCAGGTGATCTTGGTGGCCTTGCTACTGGTCGTGAGAATATTCTCCAGCCAGGAGAGCTACTGCTTACTGGTGAAGAAGGGATGGGAGATGATGAGGTTGACGACGTTTCCTCAACAGTTTTGCCTGTACCTCCATCTTTGTGGCGCCATGCAAACAAGTTTCTGCAAATAAACAGTAAGTCATTCTTGAGACCTATAAACACACAACAGTTTTGTAGCATTATCTGGATCAATATGGATTAATAAGAGCTGAAATAAAGTCACAGTGATATGCATTATTATTTCATATTAATATTAATGTTAACAATTTTACCAAAATTTATATGAGAGTGGCATTCACCGAGGACACAGCTAACTTTCAAGCTGATACAACTCCTTTCAGTTGGCCACCAACAACAATACATGGCTCAAAAAGGACAAATTTCAGTAACTCTACTATGGAAAACTAGAGGAAATAAAGTCTCTAATGGAGTATAAAACAAACTAAAATCACTCAAAAAAGCAGAACTTTAATGTGAAATGTTAAATCTCTCATTCCAGGATTACAACAATGTTATTATCAGAAGAGATACCAAGCCAACGATGGTACTCTTCAAGTCATTTCTTCTCTCTTGGCTGGAATATTGCTGTATACTAACAGCACACTTTACAGCAGGTGAAATTGCAGAGCAAGAGAATGTACAGCGAACCTTAACTGTCTCTATACTAGGAATAACTCATATCTTTTTAACTCTTCTCCTTGCAACATAGTCAAGAATGATATATCAGAGGCCCTTTGTAGGGACTGATCCCAAATTTGCACAGTGAAATCACTCCCCATGAAAGCATGAGGTTTAACAAATGATGAAAAAATAACTTCAATGAAAAGCATGGGCACAGTGTGTACAGTACTAGACAATTCAATAAGTTTAAATGGAGAAAGACTCTTCAACATCCCCACTTCATGAAAAAGGGCAATTACCAATAAATCCCTAGGTATTTTTAACCCTTTGACTGTTTCGGTCGTATATATACATCTTATGCGCCACTGTTTCTGACGTATATTTATACGCGTAAATTCTAGCGGCTTCAAATCAAGCGGGAGAAAGCTGGTAGGCCTACATGAGAGAGAATGGGTCTGAGAATGGGTCACTAGAAACTAGCACCTTCCCGAAACTACTCAAGATGGCAAGGGTTACACCAATACATAAAGGTGGTGACCCTACAGATTTAAACAACTATAGGCCAATATCAAACTTACCATTGCTATCCAAAATCTTTGAGAAACTCGTGCACAGGAGACTATATTAATTTATAACGGCACAAAACATACTCAACCCCTGCCAATTTGGATTCAGGAAAAATAAAAGCACTAACGATGCAATCATAAAAATGCTAGATCTGCTTTACACAGCATTGGAAAATAAGGAATATCCACTAGGAATTTTTATTGACCTAAGAAAAGCTTTTGACACAGTAGACCACGGCATCCTACTCCACAAACTTGACCATTATGGAATAAGGCCCCCATGCGCTGCATATTCAAATCTACCTTACTAATAGGTATCATTATGTCACCATTAAAGACAGCATAAACAACACAGCCACTTGATACGGGAGTTCCGCAGGAAGTGTCCCTTGGTCCCCTGCTCTTCCTCATATACACAATGATCTTCCAAACGTATCTCAACACCTGAACCCCATTCTCTTTGCTGATGACACGACTTTGTCATCTCTCACCCTAATCTTGCCACCAACACCATTGTTAATGAGGAGCTGATCAAAATATTGACTTGATGACAGCCAAAAAACTTACCTTAACACGACAAAACCTACTACATTATGTTTGGTACAGAGCAGGAGATGCACAAATCAACATTAAGATCGACAACACTCTAATTGGCCAGGCATAATGAGGGAAAATTTTTCTAGCCTAACCTCGACAACAACCTGAACTTCAGCACCCATATCCAACACATAACCAAAAAGTATCCAAAACGGTTGGGGTCCTCTCCAAGATACGATACTACGTGCCACAAACTGCCCTTCTCACACTATAAACCCTTCACTTATATATCCATACCTCACCTATGCTATCTGTGCTTGGGGTTCAACTGCAGCAACACACCTAAAGCCAATAATAACCCAACAAAAAGCCGCAGTAAGAATAATCACTAAATCCCATCCCTGGCAACACACCACCCCACTCTTCATAGATCTAAACTTACTCCCTGTTCAGTACATCCACACTTACTACTGTGCAATTTACATCTACAGGACCTTAAATTCCAATATTAACCTTGACCTAAAACGCTTTCTTGATAGTTGCGACAGAACCCACAGGCACAACTGCAGACACATTCATCACCTTCAAAACTACCATATATTTATTTATTTATTTATTTATTTCCAATTTGAGCACACATACAGAGGTACAAAAAAATACAGATAAGAGCAGCATGCCAAAGCCACTTATACTATGCATAGCATTACGGGCTGGCTTAAAATTAACTTAAGATTAACTAAGCAATGATGAAATCAGTGATAAAACATTATGTAAACAGATTACTATAAATCACAAGTGAGTATTACAAAGACAGGTCATATGGTTGCATTCAGTCATATAAGGATTCTGGTTAGGTAGTGTTTTTTAAAAAATATAAAAGTAAGATTCAGTATTAAGGTTTTTAACATTATGTGAATAATTTGGTGAGAAACATTAAGATATACAATTTAAAAAGGTTCAAGTTATTCAGTATTTATTTGGTTTTGGGTGAGTAAGTGATCCTTTAGAAGAGACTTGAATTTATAACAGTAGTGTTTCTTTTTATATCTTACAGGTAATGAATTCCAGATTTTAAGGGCCTTTTATTTTCATTGAGTTTTTGCAAATGTGTGAGATGGACACGAGAACATCAAGAGTGAACTGTGCCTTGTGTTATGGTCATGTGTTTCTCTTTGAGGTAGGCAATGAGAGATTGTTTGAGGGGAGGGTTAATAACAGAGTTAAGGTCTATGTATGTAATAGGTGCAGGTAATAAGTTATGGATGTTTTTGTATGGTGATTAGAGTTTAGTGTATTGAATATTGGTTGGAGTGTGGCTGCCTGTGTGAGAAGTTGTTATCATTCTAACTGCAGCCTTTTGTTGGGTAATTAGTGGGTCTGAGATGGTAAAGTTGATGTTGAGCCCCATGCACAAAATCCATAGGTGAGATAGGGGAAATAAGAGAGTTGATATAGGCCAGAGGGCTGACTGTGGAACGAGTACCCGATCTTGCGGATAGTATGCCTACAGTCTATGGAAATTTTTCTTAGAAAGTTTCTTGTAAATGAGTATGAAATTTGAGTCCTATTATCAAGTGGATTCCTAAGAATTTTCCCTCAGTTAGTTTTGTGATAGGTGATATTCCGTTTATCATTAAGTTAAGAGGTACATCCTGTAGCTCTGTTAACAAACTGAATGAAGTCGGGGTTTTGTCAATGTTTAGTGTAAGTATGTTAGTCCTCATCCAGGTAGATATTTCTTAATACGGAATTTAAAACAGTATAGGCTAGCGTGACTTGGGCTCGGTGATAGAAACGTATGTAGTGTCATCGCAAATAGTGTTGTTTGATGAATTGCGAAGCATTGGAAGGTCATTTATGTATAAGGAGAAAGAGAAGAGGGGCCAAGGACACTTCCCTGTGGACAACCAACTGTAATTGGTTGCACAGAAGAGTTTTGCCCCCATATGCGTAACATATTGGCTTCTGTTGCTGAGGTAGTCCTTGAGGTAGTTAGAGAGTGCCCTCTTAAACCATGAGTGAAGACAATTTACGTGGAGCAAGTCATGGTCAACTGTATCAAATGCTTTAACTAAAGTCAATGAAGATCCCCAAGGGACTTTCTTTATTTTTCTCCTATTTGCAAAGTAATATATGTTCTAGCATGTTATAATAGCATCATTAGTATTTTTTTATATTAGGCCTGATCCAAATTGCAGGGTTGGAGTAATGTTTAGGGAGAAAAGGTAAGAGAGATTCGTTTGTTGAATTAATTTTTTCCGAAAGATTTTTTGAGAGAGGGTGTAAGTTGATATATGGCCTATAGTTATTCAACTCTGTTTGGTTCTCCTCCTTTGTGGATCGGGGTTGAACCCATGCTATTTGAGTACTGTAGGGAAGTGGAGGATTCAATGGATTTGTTAAAAGAGGGTGCAATGATTGGTGCTAGCACTTGTGACACTTTTTGTATATAAAGGGGTGGTAAGGTAATTTAAAACATCTCCTGGCCTTGTTTTTTAGAGCGTTGATCAATAAGGGAGACTTCGTATGGTAAAGTCGGATCAATGGAACAGTGTTCGTGGTAGTTGCCGTGAGTAGTCATTTGGTGGGGTATCTGAGCTTGGGATTTTATTGGCAAGGTTTTGTCCTCTAGTGGAGAAGAAATCATTGGAGTCTGTTTTGCTGTTTCTGTTGGTGGGAGTTGGGGTTCATCTCTGATTTTGCTAATTTATTTCGCTATTTCGTGATATCTTTTTGTTCCCAAGAATTTCAGATAGGGTTTTTTCCAGGTCTTTTTTATATCACCGTCATATGTTTGGATAATCGTGTTTTCTCATAAAACAATTTTTTTTTTGCCCTTCTTATCAGCTGGTTAGGATTGACGAGTAACGTTTTTTGTTGTCTCTGGTTATGTGACCCCTTTCTGTACTGTTTTCATATTGGTGTTTTTGTATTTAAGATTTGAGAATGCGGGGTGTTAGCCAGGTACTGTTCGTCTCTTAGCTGTCATCTGTGTTAGTTTTTTTAATAGGCAGTGCTTGTTATAGAGGTAAGTGGTTATTTTTTTAGAAAATTATTAATGACATTCGTCAATATCTGTATAGATTCTAGCTCGTTGTGCCAATCAATGTTAGCTATTGCTGTTGTTGAAGTTATTAATGGGTCTGCCTCATTGTGAAGTCTGAAGGTGAACTTTAGTAGTGTCTTGGGGTAGTTTTAAACCAAGAAGTTGTTATGAGGCAAGAAGGGTTGTGGTCCTGTGGTATTATCTGTAATTATGCCTTATTTTAAAGGGATATGGTGTTTGGTCCAGATGTGGCCAAGTAGGAAACACTAGTCTCTGTAACTCTTGTAGGTTTTTGTTACTGTTGGTAGTAACATACAGTTTCTCATTGTGATTGTGAATTCAGTAACGTGT